TGGTTAGAGATGACCCCAGGGAATGGCTGTTGGATGGGGCTGCAGATGGCAGTGCTGGTGGATTCATCAGGGATCCCTGCTGTCCCGCAGCCCATGAGACAGAGAGGTCACTGGCAAGGTGAGAGAGGGATGCCTGATCCTAGAGCCACATGAGGCTGCACATGTACTTGACGGGGGACACTTTGGGAGGTGTTTCTAATGTCACCTGTGGTTCCTTGACATCCTAGCATGTGAAGAAGGAGGAGGAAATCCAGATGAGAATTCCAGCTGAGATCATCGGTGGTCAGCCCACAGCCAGTCTTGTTTTCTTGGTATGATGTGCACTCCTCCTTCCTATACAATAATTTTTAAACAAGTCCCAGACAATGTATCTTTTATTTCAAATGTAAACACTTTAGCATGAATCTCCACATAGATAGCTCTTCTTTTTATGTTTTATTTTAGTTTAGTTTAATTGAGTTTTTCTGTTTTTTTGTTACGTTAGCATAAAATTTACCATCTTAACAATTTTGAAGCGTAACAGTTTGGTGGAATCAAGTACACTCACAGTGTGTAACCATCACCACCACCCACATCCCTTTCATTCTATGCCCATTGAATAATAACTCCTCACACCACTTCCATCTCCTGGAAACCATTCTCTGGATGACTTTTGAGTACTTTTGATGACTCTGAGTACCTCATATCAATGGAATTCTATTTTTAATTATTTGAGGAGCTGCTTTACTGTTTTCCAAAGCGACTGCACCATTTTTCTTTCCCACTACCAGTGCATAAGGATTCCAGTTATTCCACATCCTCACCAACACTTGCTCTTTTCTTTGTTTTTTTTTTTTAAGAGTAGCCATCCCTGTGAATATGAGGTCATATCTCACATGCAGTTTCGATTTCCCAATTATTAGTGATGTTGAACATCTTTTCACAGACTTATTCGCCATCTGTATATCTTCTTTGAAGAAAAGTGTATTCAAGTCCTTTGCCTATTTTTGAATCCGATTATTTTTTGTGTTGAGTTTTAGCCATTCTCTATATATCCTGGGTATTAATTCCTTATCAATACATGATTTGCAAATGTTTTCTCCCATTCTGTGGCTTACTTTCTTACTGTGTCGATATTGTCTACTGATACACAAAATTTTTTAATTGTTACGGAATCTACCTTGTTTTTTTCTTTTGTTGCCTGTGCCTTTGGTGTCACATCCAAGAAATTGTTGACAAGTCCAATGTCATGAAGATTTTGCCCTGTTTTCTTCTAAGAGTTTCATGGTTTTAGATTTGACATTTAGGTGATTGATTTATTTGGGGTTGATTTTTGAATATGGTGTTAAGTAAGGGTTCAACTTCATTTTTTTGCATGTGGATATCAAAATTTTTAGCAGCATTTGTTGAAAAAAAATGTCCTTTCCCTATTGAATTGTTGGCACCCTTGTTAAAAATCATTTGATCACATACGAACGGTTTATTTCTGGGCTCTCTATTTTATTCACTTGGTCTATATATGTGTATTTCTGCCATATGACACTGTTTTCGATTCTTGTACCATTGTAGTAAGTCTTAAAATCAGGAAGTGTGAGTACTCCTACTTTGTTCTGTTTTAAGTCCAGCCTGAGCCCCTTGCGATTCCACATGAACGTTAGAATAATTTTTTTGTTTCTGCAGAAAACATCATTGGGATTTTCCTGCTGATCGCACCAGTCTATAGATAACTTGGGGTAGCACTGACATCCTAACAATATTAAGGTTCCCAGTGCATGAATATGGAACGTCCTCCCATTTATTCGTGTCTTCTTTAATTTCTTTCAGCAATGTTTATTATTTTTTTTCTTGAGATGGAGTCTTGCTCTGTCACATAGGCTGGAATACAGTGGCACAATCTCAGCTCACTACAACCTCTGCCTCTCATGTTCAAGAAATTCTCCTGCCTCAGCCTCATGAGTAGCTGGGATTGCAGGTGCTCACCACCATGCCCAGATAATTTTTGTATTTTTAGTAAAGTCAAGGCTTCACCATGTTGGCCAGGCTGGATTTGAACTCCTGAGCTGAAGTGATCCACCCATTTCAGCCTCCCAAAGTGCTGGGATTACAGACGTGAGCAACCATACCCAGCCTCAGCAATATTTTGATGACTTCATTGTACAAGTCTTTCACCTCCTTGGTTAAATTAATTCTGAAATATTGTGCTTTTTTATGCTACTGTAAATGAATTTTTTAAAATTTCTTTTCAGATTCTTCATTGTTAGTAAACAGAAATGGAGCTGGATTTTGTGTATTAAGTGTGCATCCTGCTACCTTGCTAACTTCGTTTATTAGTTCTATCAGATTTTTTTGTGGAATCTGTAGGGTTTTCTATTTATGAGATCATACTTCTTCCTTTACAATTAGGTGCCTTTTATTTCTTTTTCTTGCCTAATTTCTCTGGCTACAACTTTTGTTTAGTGCAGTGTTCAACGAAAGTGGAAAAAGTGGGCATCTTTGCCTTCTTCTTGATCTTATGGGTGCTTTCAGGTTTTCACCATTGAGCATGATGTTCACTGCGGATTTTTCAAATACAGCTTTTATTTTGTTGAGGTAATTTCCTTCTATTCCTGGTTGGTTTCATGTTTTTATCATGAAAGGGAAAAGCATCAATGCTTTTTCAGAAATGCTTATTATAAGAACATTAAATGCTTTTTCTATGTCAGTTGAGATAATCATGTATTTTTTATCTTTCATTCTGTTAATGTGGTATATTAGAATCATCGATTTTCGTAATTTTAACCCTCCTTGCATTCCAGAAATAAATCCCACTTGTTCGTGGTGTATGATTTCTTTAATAGGCCGCTGGATTCAGTTTTGTAGAATTTTGTTGAGGAGTTTTACCTCAGTGTTCACAGGGATATGGGTCTGTACCGCTTCTCTGGTGGCCTGTCTGGCTTTGGCATCAGGGTAATGCTGACCTCATGGAACGACTTAGGAAATGTTCACTCCGCCAGTTTTTTGGAAAAGTTTGAGAAGGACTGGTATTAGTTCTTTAAGTGTTTGCCAGGATTCATCTCTGAAGCCGTCTTGTGGAAAATCTCTATCTAATGCCATAAAACCCCGTGACTGCTGGGCTAGGAGGTGAAAAAAATCATAGAGCTGCAAGGGACCCGAAAGCTTTTCTTGCTCAACCACCCCATCTTTTATAAGCCACTTGCCCCCAATCAGATATTTAGTAGCAAAACTGGGGCTGAATCCCTGGCCTCCTTCTGACTCTTAGTACAGTGTTCTTTATACCCTGACAGTCTCCAAGTAAAAAAAAAAAAAGTTTATGTAGAATATAAAGTTTTATAGAAGATGTTGTATGTCTACTTTCTTCGTGACTTTTATTTTTCTTCCACAACCCCTCAATTTTCCCATTCACCTGATATTCACCCCAACTCATGGTTAAGTGTGCATGTTAATAACTCCCCAAGAGAGTTCTTACAATACTGATGCAGAAAGAGACTAAGAACTAGGGACTCAAATGCAGGGCCACAGAGTCCCCTCTTCATCCCGTCTCCCCGCCCCAGCTGCCTTCCTTGATAGAGAAGCAGGTGTAGCATGATTGGCCAGTGATGCATTTAAGGCAGCTTCCTCTGACAGGCCTAAAATCAGACTCTAAGCCTTACAAGAAGATGCACAGGGAGCTCAGTGTTTGATGCAGCCCAGAAAGAGTTTGGTCAAGAGAAGGGAGTGTCGTACACATAGCAGAGACTGCTTGTGCAGAAAGAAAGGGTCAGGCAGGAGGCTTTCATCTCTGTAGCTACTGGTTCTGAATATCATCGACTGAGAAAACTTTATTTAAAAATCCCACAAAAGTTATAAAGAGAATTGGAAGAACAGCAGCACTGTTCTGGGACAAGACTCCAGAATGCATTGGTGCAGGGCTGGGGGGCAACTAGGTGGCAGCCTCATCAGAGCCATTCTCTCTCCTTTCATCAGTTTCATCTCTGAGTAGATGAAACAGGCCCAGAAAAAGGCTCTGAGCAGGTAGGAGTGGGTACCAGCAAACCTGGAAGGAAATGAGCTAAAGGGAATATGAGGCAAAGGCAATGTCTATGACAAACCAGCCTGTGTGGAAAGAGCTATCAAAGGATGTGGCAATGACAGAAATAAAATTCCACGAATGATGATCCCTTTTGTTCATACTTAGTCATAATTTATGATACTCAAAGTTGAAAAAATCCAATAAGAAAAAAAAGGTTGTTTTTAAAAAATTAATTGATCTAATTTGAGTACATTTTAAAAGTTAGTAAATAATCGGTTGTAAAATCAAGCCAAGTTGTTCAGCAGGCCAGAAGTTGCAGGATACTCTGTAGTCCAGCACCTCCCCAGCTTTAATGTGCAGATTCCTCAGCAGGGACCGGTTCAAATGCAGATTCTGATTTAGTAAGTGCAGGTGGTACTCAAGATTCTGCATTTCCAACAAGCTCCCAGCTGGTGCTGATGCTGCTGGTTCCCAGCAAACCCTGAGTGGCAAACTACAGAGAGCACCCTAAGAGACCACGCTGTGCCTGTCTCAAGATGCCTCAGCCGCGGATTTGTGTTTAGGACTTGACACCTCAAGATCATCACTAAGTAGGGATTACTGCGATCACATAATTTCCTGCTTAAATGAATAGCCGTGTACCTGGGAAGAGCTAATCCTCATTACAGATTTGCAGTTCTGTTTTCCTGTGGACTCATCGGATGCTAATGTGATTGGGCTTACCCGTGGGTTTCAGGACGTCTGCTAGCAATTGGAGGTCTCTAGGCTGCAAGCGAGCCAATTCCCACAGTCTCCTTCATTTGGAAGCAGAGACTTTATAGAGATTGAGGTAATCAATTTCTGCTTACTCTGGCTGGCTGCCCTGACAAAGCCTTTTTAACATTCATGGAATAGGTAGGGCTGAATATTATCTAACCCTCACAGTTACTGTGTGTGTTGGTTGACTGGTACCGTCTGAAATAATATGGGTCTGGGTGATTCTCTTGTCTCATCTCTGTTCCTCCTCCTCCAGGAGAAATGGGTTCCCTGAGGAAAGTGTGACCTACGTGCCCAGCCTGCCAGCCTGACGCCCATCCGGGGAGGGAGGACCATGGATGGCATCATTGAGCAGAAGAGCATGCTGGTGCACAGTAAAATCAGTGATGCTGGCAAGAGGAATGGCTTGATTAACACCAGAAACTTGATGGCGGAGAGCAGAGATGGTCTGGTGTCTGTTTACCCAGCGCCCCAGTACCAGAGCCACCGGGTGGGGGCCAGCACAGTGCCAGCCAGCCTGGACGGCAGCAAGAGTGAGCCAGTGCAGCAGCTGCTGGACCCCAACACCCTGCAGCAGTCGGTGGAGTCCCGCTACCGGCCCAATATCATCCTCTACTCGGAGGGCGTGCTGCGCTCCTGGGGGGATGGCGTGGCCACCGACTGCTGTGAGACCACCTTCATCGAGGACCGCTCACCCACCAAAGACAGCCTGGAGTACCCCGACGGGAAGTTCATCGACCTCTCAGCTGACGACATCAAAATCCACACCCTGTCCTACGATGTGGAAGAGGAGGAGGAGTTCCAGGAGCTGGAGGTAAGAGGATGTGTTTGTCAGAGGCCCTCTAGGAATGGGCCGTGGGGATCTTGAGGTGGGCAGGAGACATGAACGCCAAAGTTAGGGAATGAAACTAGGGTGCAAAAATGCAGAGACCAAAGGCGGTCTTGGTGCCCTTCACTCGTGAACGCTTGTGGAAGATAGAAGGAGAGGAAAGACTAACAGAAAGCGAGGGGCACTGCGGCAGTGATTCTGGTCGGAGATGACCACAGGGAATGGCTGTCGGATGGGGCTGCAGATGGCAGTGCTGGTGGGTTCGTCGGGGTTCCCTGCTGTCCCGCAGCCCATGGGACAGAGAGGTCATTGGCAAGATGAGAGAGGGACGCCTGATCCTAGAGCCACACGAGGCTGGAAATGTACTTGACGGGGGATGCTTTGGGAGGTGTTTCGCTGTCACCCGTGGTTCCGTGACTTCGCATTCCACAGTTACTACTGAGAGGTTGTTGGTAGAGCTAAACTGCGCTGGAAGAACATATAGGAGCTGATAGCCTAAAGGGAAGATAAGCTGACTTCTTAGATGACTCACTTCTTTAGTGGACTGGAGGGCAGGTGACGACATTTGAATTACATGCACAGAGATGCACACATTGCACGTTGGAAATAGCATGGTAGGCACAGTAGCCGCTGGGCGTGTGGCACAGTGGCCCCCCAGGGCAGCACCAGGTGAGAGGGGAAGAGAAGCTGCTACAGGGCATGGACTAGCAGGTTTGCTGCCCACAGCCTCCGGGTCATCCCACTGCAATGAGGCCAGAAGTGTTCTCCCAGGACGCGACGGCAGGGAGACATGGGCCAGGTTTCCATCAGTTTGGTGGGGAAGGAAGCCACCGAGCAGGTCCGACCTTCAGAGGCCATGTGTGACTAAAGCGGGAAGGGATGTTTGTTTTTGACTAAGGTAGGCAAGAACATTCTTGTAGGTGGAGCGGAAATGTTCAGAATGGAAAATTCAGGATCATGGCCAGCGGCTGGGGAGGGGTCTCGGGGAGGCAGGAGCCATGCTCCAAGCATGTGTCTGTGAGAGCTGGCCTCTCAGGAGCCCGTATGCTGCAGACCTGGGAGAGAAGACGGATGGGGTAAGGGAGACTTCGAAGCACTCTGGGTTGAAGAGGAAGGAAAGGAAGGGTTCATGAACATCAGACAGCCAGGGAAGCTCCTGGGCCGTGAGGAGATTGTCCAGAGCAACGAATTGGGAGAAGTGCCCCTTCTAGAAAAGACTCCTGGAGAAGCTGCCCGGCTGCAGTGTGAGTTTGAGTGAAGATCTGGTCTGACCCAGGGCTCCATGACTTTCTCCAGCCATGTGGGGCCGTCTTCAGCAGGCGAGGCTCTCTTGGCAAGGTATACTCTGCCTGGAAGGTGGAGGAGACAGGAGAAAGCACGAAGGAGGAAGTCTGGAGCAGAATCAGACCCACACCCATGGGTCCCCACACTTGATAGAAAGGCCGGAGAAATCACAAGTGAGTAACAGGCCCAGGATTCCAGAGAATCAGGACTGGAGACCCCAGTGAGAACCAGAGCCTAGAGATCTGGCACTCTTCAGGAGGGAGGATCAGAAATGGAGAGGGAAATTTGGATATTGGCGCAGTCCCAGCCAAGGGAGCCCGGGAAGCCCACTGGCAGGGAGTGGAGAGTCACGGCACAAAGAGGACCAAGACATGATGCCCGGGTGTCTGCAGAGGCCCGAATGCCCTCTGGTGACACCTGCGAAGGGAGGGCACTCACTGCGGCTGTGGAAAGTTGGGAGCGTGCTTGGTTTCCATTCAGAAGCCTCTGCTTGTGACTAGTGTTTTCCAAGATCTGAGGGCTTTGCTGACAGCAAAGTATAAATGCTGCGTGACCCACATGGAGTGGAATTCGGGAAGCAGATGCACGAAAACGCAGCCTCAGCCCAACCCAGGAGTTATGGTGACAGAACACCCTGTCAACTCTGAAAGCATCCAGAAGAGGGGCTGGGGCCCTGAGATTCAGAAGTCATCGCACAGGCAGGGGCCCTCCCTGCACTGCATCCGGAGGATGAGTAAGAGGAGGCTTGAGGGGAGCTGGCAGAGGAGTTCCAGTCCAAAGAGACCCAGTGTGCACAGAGGCAGCAGCTCCGGAGTCTGTAGGGAAGAGGAACGGGGCAGAAATGCGGAGGCCTACGGGGAGGGTAAGCGAGACAGGCTGGAAGGGGAGAAGGGTCCCATTAGCAAGGACCTTATCAGCCACCTAAGGAGACTGGATTTATGCAGGATCACAAACTCAGATACCTGTGAGACAGAAGGGACCCACCAAAGAGTCAAGAAGGAGCCCTGGGAGGGGTGGGCCGGAGCGTGGGGAGCCAGGTCCCATAGAGCGTCTGTCCCGTCTGCGCCAGGGTCGCAGGCCGTGCTGCTGGAGAGCCTGAATGGATTGGTCAGGGTCACCAAGAGTCAGAACTCTCCAACATTTAATCCCCAAACAACAGGAGCAAGTGAGCAGGATGTCATGTGGAGGACGTGGGAGTCGCAGGAGGGGGCCTTGGTGCGGGCACTTGACCACGAAGGTCCACGGGAGGGTTTCAGGCAGAAGGGCTGTGGTCAGATCTTGACCCGTGTTTTCAGGAGCTGCTCTGCCCAAGAGTGGGACAAGGATATAGGGGAGATGGAGGCGAGAGGGGAGGTGGCCTGGCGCTAGGACCAAACCAGATGTGCCCCCTGCCTCTTTCAGGGGCTTGTCGTGGGGGAAGGTGAGAGAGAATAAGGACAGCATTAGAAGTGGTGAGGAAATATCTAAAAGGTGAAATTTGTCATTAATGGAGATGAGATGGTGGAAAGGAAGGGATCAGAGATGTTCCCAAGCCCCCAGGGGGCCAAATGGCTGACAGAGGATTTTCAGCTTTCTTAGGAGTTTTTTGGAAAATCCCCTCCAAGATACAACATGCCTCAGCCATAGAAGGCTTGGGATGGTAACTAGATTGAAAAGGACATTCTGAATGTCTCCATCATTCTTTTCTCTCACTCCCGTGGGTCTTTTCCTCCCCTCCCTCTCATTGCCTCCATGCACCTATAACTACACTCTGCCAAGGTCAGTGGGACAGGAGCAGGTGGGGGTGAGAAGGTGGGAGGTGAGCAGGTGAGCAGCAAATCTTCTTAGTCCGCAGTTAACCTTCCTCCTGCTGCTTCTCATTGGACTACATTCAAAAGAATTGTTAATCCTTCTTGAAGACTCATGTGGGCTTCCGATGGAGTCTGCATGTAAATACAACCAATATTTAAATGCAATTTTTTTTAAAAAAAATTTATAGTATGTCTGAATCCACATTTTTGTCAAACAATTACTGAATCCATTTTATTGCAATGATTTTTCATGCGGTGGCCTCAGCAGGTAATAGATGTGGTTTTGAAACCCTACAAGGGTCTGAAATCTACTGAGACAATGTCTTAAATAAAAACTAGGAAGTGGGTGGAGGCAGACACAGACTTGTCTGTCTTAGTAGGTCCAAGGCTCTGACAAGTAGTATAGACTGCTGGGGAAGTAAGCTTTCCCACCCAGTCCTGCTCCTCTGATCTAGCAGCAGAAATGGAAGCCCACTGGAAACAATTCTTTTAACAATACCAAAGAATATTTAGTCATAAGAATGGTGCCTACTCTGTATTAATATTTCTGGTGCCTACTCTGTATTAATATTTCTAGTGCCTTTTGATTATAACATAAGATGGAGCATGTTGGCATTTATACTTTGGCCACAAAAGGCACTTGCCAGTAACATCGAGCTGCTTCTTAGGTGCTTTAGTGAGACTTTCTGGTTGAGAAAGTCTGGACCAAGAAATCGCCCCTCCCACAGGCTCTGAGCAAAAGGAATGGAGACACATTGTGGCTGCTGCTGCTTCTACATGTGGTTCAGGATGCCATGGAGGATTTCAGAGCCTCACCACAGTGGTTACCTTGGTCCTTTGAGAATTCTGTGAAAACAGATATTTTCTTAGAAATGTCCTTAAAGTATAGGTATGGCCTTTTTATTCCATTCTTCTGTAAATACCAAAATACTAAGACTGATTGGAATGTCATTGTACATGCAGTAGCTGTTCTTTGGTTTACTCTTTATTCCATTAAATAATAAAGGGTCATGTATCAGTTAGCATTTGCTGCATAACAAAATCACCCCAAAACACAGTGCCTTAAACAGCTCTTTCTTTAGCTTCTCAGCGTCGACAACTGAGCTGAGCTCAGCTGGGCGACTGTTCTGCTGGTCTCACTTGAGCTCCATCACTTGTCCATAGCTAGCTGTGATGGGCTGGGCAGCCAGCCATGTTGAGAGCTCTGGCAGACTTTTGGCTGCAGTGACAGAGGCGACTGCCTCACCCAGCAGTCACCCATCCTGTTTCATCGTGAGGCAGTCAGCGAGGTGGGGACCACTGTGCAAGGACTTGTCAAGTCTTTGCTTGTGTCCTGCATGTTACTGTCTCATTGACCAGAGCAAAGCACCCAGCCAAGCTCAGTCAGTGTGGGAAGGACTGCTTAGGATCACAATATAGGGAAGTGATAACAGATTAGGTGTCAGTACTGCAACCACAGAGCCAAAAACCATAGAATTTTGGCATCATTTTTCTCAGATCATCTAATTGAACAGAGTGACAACTACTGAAACAAAAGAACAGTGGATATTCATCTGAGCTCTTTCCAGAAAGCAATCTACCCAGAAAAAAAGAAAAAAAATGTGATTTTTAACTTAATTGAGCATTGTATAGCTTTGCTTGGTTTACAGCAAGTGACTACTGTTTCCCAAAGAGTGCTATTTTCAGAAAGCCATTGCCTTTGTTCAGAATAGGGCCCCCTCATTGCCCTGGTTCAGACTGGGGCCTCCTCATTGCCCTGGTTCAGAGTGGGGTCCCTTCGTTGCCCTGGTTCTGAGCAAGGCCCCCTTGCTGGAGCTCCTGGGCACTGGGCAGCTGGCTGTGTCCTCCCCAATCACTTTCCCAGAACAGGTGCATCCCTGGCATTTACGAAGGAGCCTCTCCAGGTCCGAA